TGGGGAAGGCAAAAACATGGGGGTGTTTTTGCCCTCCCAAGCCCCCAGGAACACTCTGCAGGCCTTCCAAACTCTCTGCCTGTCCCATTGTTTGCTCGCTTTTGCCCTCCCAGCCCCCAGGAGCACTCTACAGGCCTCCCAAACTTTCTGCACGCCCCATTTTCATGAAAAATGGGGCCGTTTTTTGCCTCCCAACCCCCCACCACCACGTGTCATGTTTTTTCCTTCCCCGGCCCTCAGGAGCATTTTGTAGGCCTCCCAAACTCTCTGCATGCCCCATTTTCATGAAAAATGGGGCCGTTTTTTGCCTCCCAACCCCCCACCACCACGTGTCATGTTTTTTCCCTCCCCGGCCCTCAGGAACATTTTGTAGGCCTCCCAAACTCTCTGCATGTCCCATTTTTCACAAAAAACAGGGTGTGCAGAGGGTTTGGGAGCCTGCAGAGTGCTCCTGGGGGCCAATCTTGGTGCATCTTATACTCTGAAAAATACGGTATATAATTGGCTTTTTGGTGTTTAATGAATATACTTTACTTGCCTATTTTTGTATATAATTATCATTTCAGGTATAGTATTCCATATATTTGGTGCATCTTACAATTATTATTTTGTAAACATAAATACATACTTTTGTCCTCAAGTTGAACTTAATATACGGCAGTCAAATTATATGTGGGGAATAAAAGAAGCCAAAAACAAAAATACAGCAACCAAATAATTAAATGATTTGGTTTATATAGGTATGGCAACTTTCCTTAAGCTTAGGTTCCTATCAGAAGGTCTATGTTTTCGTCAGTTTTCTTGATCAAAATATTTTGTTATTAACAAAAATATTATACTTTTGCTTCTAATTCTCTCCTTGCAGGCTGCTTGCCATAAAGAAACACATGTTTCTCAGAAGGCTGTTTCTTTTATCCATGACATCCTAACAGAGGTTCTAACAGTCTGGAACGAACCGCCTCATTTTCACTTCAGCGAGGCCCTTTTCCGTCCCTTTGAGCGCATCATGCAGCTTGAACTTTGTGATGAGGACATTCAGGACCAGGCAAGCTAGATTTTGGTTAAGTAAGGAGGATCTGACCTCAGGCTTTTAAGTTTTGATTTTTTTAAAAAAATAATATTATATGCCTAGCGGATGCAGTTTTGCATTATTATATTTTTAATAGAGGTAGTCATAACTGTTTGAAGGTACCACAACCTCTCCCAAACTACTTACAATCCGATTTGGAAATTATGATGGCTTTTGGGCTCTTGGCTACTAGCTCACCCTTATGGCCATTTGCAGTGTCTCGCAGTCCCGTAACTACAATTTGTAACAGTTTTGCTGTTTTCCAGTGTTTACTTCCAGTTCCCAGCAAAATGATTGGAGAAAATGATTTCTTTAACAACTACAGAATTTGCTTTTAACAGAATCAGTGTTATGTATTACTGTGACTAGCTGAAACAGAAAATACTGATCAGTTGTATGAGGATAGAGGTATCCCATATAAAATTTTATTTATTTTATTTTACTTTATTTTATTATTTTTTATTTACATGTTATTTATTAAACTTGTATGCTGCCCATTACAGGACAGATTTTTTCGTGCTACGAATAGAAACATATAGTTGATAAAGAAGATTGTAGTAATCCATATCCTGGTTTCTTTTATGTACTCATATGAGATCCATGAAGATGTAGTGCTATGTTTAGAACATTCCAGAATTTAGAGCTTTCATTTTTCAGGAGCTCCTCAACTCAGTTCTGATTTTCATTTTCCCATGTTGTCCTCTACACTACTGTAGTGTGCGAATTCACTTGGTAAATAACCTAACACAGATTTCATTATATGGACAGAAATTCACAAAGTTAGTGGACCATGTGAGTCTGAACTACATGGTGTCTTTATTAAAAATTACCTCATACATGGTCGCTTGCAGTTATGACAGTGATGAAAGACTAACTTTGATCTATCCTCACTTTTATAACCTTCACCAAACTGTAAAGCAAAGTTGAAGTAAGGTCACAGTCACAGTTTCACACATTAGCCAAGTTGCCTATCTGTAATTCATTTGTTTGATCCCAGTGAGTGTGTTCTGAGCCGAGCTTAGTCTAGGTCCAGCTTATCATTTTCTTTATGTTGGTTGTTTTCTTTGAAATGCTTTGGTGCTTCAATTATACCAGGTGGTCACATCTATAGGAGAGCTGGTGGAGGTGTGCTCAACTCGAATTCAATCAGGCTGGAGACCATTGTTCAGTGCTTTGGAAACTGTGCGCAGCAGCAGCAGCAAGTCAGAAGTTAAAGAGTATCTTGTTGGAGAATATTTGATGGGTGAGGCTCTCCAATTCTCTCTTCCCCCTCCCCCCTACTTTATGAATTAATTTCTGAAAACCAATATGTTGCAAAATACTGCAAAATACTGACTAACCTAGCAAATTAAAGCTAATACAAAACCTTGTTGCAAAATATTAAAAATAATCAAATATAGTTGTATTTCTATTCGATATATAAACTTTGATTTTTATTGCTTCAATTTTTAGCCTACTTTGGGGGGGGAGGAAATAATGATTTATGATATCATAGTATTGATTTTTAAGAAGTATCACTATTACCTTTGTGCTTGATTTTTGAACTATCTCAACCAGAGGTGCGTTGCCAATTTTTTTTACTACAGGTTCGTGTGCGCTCCCACACACGACACTTTTGTGCATGCACAGAAGAGTCCGGGCGGGTGGGCAGAGCCTCCTGACACTGCTACTACCGGTTCAGCCAAACCGGCAGCAGCCCACCTCTGATCTAAACAATCCTATGATAGCTGTGTCTTTATAAAGTTAGCAAATGTTGACAACTATTTCCATGCAATACTGTTTTTACTCTCCAATACCTCACAACTTGAGCATGATAATAATCTGTGTTTATCTTTGTTCCTAGTGACCTCAAGGTGTTAGGTAAATACAGGGAATGTGATGCCTACTGCTCGCTGTAGCTGATCAGCAGGAGAATACACATCATCAGATTAGTGTATTCTGTTAGGGCTGCACACCACAAGACTGTCTATCCAAAGTAGAGACTGAACCTCAGGGGGAATAACTTTTTAAAGAATGAGACTAAGCTTTCAGCATATCAAGACTAAAATAACCTATTAGTTGATTACTTTAAAAAAAAAAAGTTTGAGTGTGTTGATCCCAGGCTGGTCTTAAATTTCTTCTTTTTTTCCTGCCCAGCTACATTACTGTTTCAGTAAGAATTAATTCCCTTTTTATTTCCCTGTAATCCCTTAATTCAGATTAGGTTCAGGGTGCTGCGTGGTGCTAAGCATTTACTGGCCAGATGCCCTTCCTGACGCTACACAGGGTTTAGAGCAGATATTTTTTCTTTGTGCCCTAGGAGAGAAACAATAGCAATAGCAGTTAGACTTATATACCGCTTCATAGGGCTTTCAGCCCTCTTTAAGCGGTTTTCAGAGTCAGCATATTGCCCCCAACAATCCGGGTCCTCATTTTACCCACCTCGGAAGGATGGAAGGCTGAGTCAACCCTGAGTCGGTGAGATTTGANATCTTATTTAGATATACAGACCAGATCTCTGAGAGGAGCTCCGTTGAGCCCTCTTCGGTGACAGACTCCGCCCCCAGAAGCCCAATTTCTTCCCTGTTCTATTACAGCCTTTAATGTGCAAATGCAAACTGGAGCCTAACCATTGTGGGGGGGAAAACCATCTCCAAATCTGATTTCTAGCCGGTTCCAAATCCAATCTCTGATCTGTTCCAGATAGGGAAATGCAATTCAGCTACTATAAAGGGCCAGGTCTGCTGTAAAGCCTGCAGTTGCCATAACCTCTGGTTTAGAGAATGCCCTCTAAAATATTGTCTAAGAAATTTCCATTGGAAACTCTTTGTCTATTTGATTATTTGCCAAAGTCTCAGTTTCTCTCCATTCCTCATTTCTGCATGACTATAACAATATGATCTACATCTGAGAACAAACAGATCGTTGAATTAAAGAGAAGAGCATTATTTCTGCAAGCATCATTATTTCACAAGATGCTATTTTTGAATATATGTACAATGTACATCACAATATAATGCCTTCATTCAGCAGAGAGTTGCATCTATCTTTCTGGCTCTGTCCTCAGCTGGAGGCATTTCTAGACAATATCCTAGATTTGCTTTTATACACTCTATTTTACAAGGGACCTGGATTTTTATTCTTTTTTTTAATATCTGTTCTAGCTCACATTTCTGCTTATATCAATAATCAAAGTGGCTTGCTTTCATCCCCCTTCTGTTACAGTCTTCTGTTTTCCTATCACTTGCGTCATCTGGGGTTTTTTTTCCACTCACTGAAAATAAATATATTAAGGGAAAGATAGCATGAAAAAACAGCAGAGATGTGCTAATTACTTTCTAAATGGAAGTAGGCTAAATGGATATCAAGGGTACAAGTAAGTGGGCTGTATGTAGTTTTTCAAGCTGGTCGAACAATTTGTCCTTTTCTTTTTTACAAAGTGGATAATCCTACTTTGGAGGAAGGTTCGAACCAGTTTGTGTTCCTCATTGATTATGAATTTCTAGTTTTTAAAAGGCCACCCCTTTGAATATGCTGTTATATCAGAGTAGAAGAAAATATGGGCATGTACATTGATTGTGGTGCATTGCATGAAAAGAATGGATGATTGTGGCAGTCAAATTTGGGCAAAAGGATAAGAGAAGAACAATTCAGATAACAGATGCTCACATGGAGAATTTCTTTCCTGACAAGCCTGGCATTTGGCATTTAATTAGCCTTTGCTGGAAGCCAGGAAGACAGAATTCAGCAAAGGCAGACTGTAATAAAATTAATTGATTTTATTACATGCAGGCTGTAATAAAATAAAAACAGACATAATTGGAATAAAAAAGTATGAAATCTGAAGAAAACACAGAAAGTTTATTATCCACATCCTTTTACGTAAGATTTTGTTTCCTTAGGCCTTATTAATGTCTGGATCCTTCTGCTAGAAGAGCTAACTACTGCTGTGTCTAATTGCCCTCGGCAACACCAGCCTCCTACTTTGGATCTGCTCTTCGAACTACTAAGAGATGTTACCAAAACACCAGGTAATTAACCAAGTTTCAATACGAAATAAAATTAAGAGCACATCTAATTTCTACCACAGGGGGTCAAAATTTGAAAGTCATGGCATCTCAAAGGAAGCCTTGCCCCCAAAGCAGTGAGGCTTATATTATGACAACATGCCTCCATTTTATAGATTTTGACATACATAAAGGTGCATCCCATCACTGCCCACTGATTTACACAAATGCATCCAGAGAGGGCTGGATGTCAGTTACTGTATCTCAGACCAATCTACTTCAAAGGCTTTTTGCGGAAAAATAAAATTGCAGAACATTTTCTGAGAGCATGCTGTGTTAATTAAGTCTAACTGCTGTGATACAAACAAAATGGAGGATCAGGAATTGAGAAGAAAAGCACACTCAAGGGCACCATTGTCTTGCAGTTTTCATTTGTACTCCATATTTTATAGTATTATTAAAACTGGTTCATGCTGGTATATTTATATTTTGCATGATAGTTGGTAATTTAAATAGGAATAAATTGATCAAATGCTACTGTACTTCTTTGGACCCCAAATTAAACCATTTAAAGTTGACAGAATAGGTTTAAAATAGAGATAGGGAATGCCAAATGGAGTTACTTTGTAATCCCTTGAAATTTTTTTAAAAAATACACTGCAAAAGTCAGTAGCAAACAAGTAGCACCAATATGAGTGTGTGTGTGTGTGTGTGTGTGTGTGTGTGTNAGAGTCAGCATATTGCCCCCAACAATCCGGGTCCTCATTTTACCCACCTCGGAAGGATGGAAGGCTGAGTCAACCCTGAGTCGGTGAGATTTGAAGAGCCGAACTGCAGAACTGCAGTCAGCTGAAGTAGCCTGCAGTGCTGCATTTAACCACTGCGCCACCTCGGCTCTCAACATCATAGGCTTGAACTGTCAACCTTCCAAGTGGGAGGCAAGTGTTTTCACCACTAGGCCACCATGCTGCTCAAATATTACAGAAAGCTAAAACTTAAAAATAACCAAACTACAACCAACAGCCTTTGAAAATTGAACTGATGTGAGATATGCTGACCACAGCAACCATTTTTTTCTCTGAAAGTATTCATCCCTCCAGAAGTTTAATAATTAACAGTTATCTAACTGATAGTTAAAGTTCCAGTCAGATGCTTGACTGCGGTAGGATGGATGTTCTCCTAGCTTCATCTCCTTCCATACTGAACAGTTCAATCAGTAGGGATCCATGATTATTTGCAATTACACAATTAATTATGCAGTTGCATAATCAGATGAAGATGTGCAGTACTTTTGTTTACTTGATGTATAGCTTATCTACCTATGGTAGGGCTTTATCAGCTTTATCAGGGGAACATGAGGCTGCAACATTAAGATTTAAAAAACTCATGCTTTCTAATGCTAATGACTATTTACTTGGATTCCCCCCCCCCCCGATCCAGATATTTTATTCTTCTATATGAATGAATGTTCTTCATGCTGAAATAGACCATTAGCATCCTCTTTATCAGTGTTTATTAGCAATAGTATCAATAGTAGAGCCTTTATTGGCATTATACATAATGCACACAACAAAATTGGTTTTAGCCTCACTGGTGCAATCCATGACAAAAAATGCAAACAACACAAATAGTATAAAGAATAATCCCTGTGCAAGTAATTGGGGGGAGGAGGGAGAAAGAAAAACTAATCATATGTTTCCATGTGTTCGTAGAGTGATTGTGGTTGTGTTTAAGAGTCTTGACAGCAGAGGTTCTACAAGGCTGGACTTGGAATTTTTCCATATAAAAGTTCCAGGGATTTAATTTGGCATTGGAAACATCACCTTGTGCTGGAGTTATAAGTACACCTACAGTATCTTTGCATAAACCTGCTTGGGACTTAACTTCGAGATATAATTTTAAAATGAAGAGAATATATTTCAAAATAAGCCCACAACAAATCACATTATGTGCTCTGAAGCCATTCGGCTTCTAGAAAATGGAACATTTTGTAATCATCTAAATATTTTCTTTGTCTCTTAGGAAAATGTCAGGCTCCAGTTTTTGATGTCTTCGAAGCTTTTCTAAATACTGACAACATCCAAGTCTTTGCAAATGCAGCCACCAGTTACATCATATGCCTTATGAAATTTGTCAAAGGATTGGGTAAAACCCCTTTTTTTTTTAGGAAAAAAATGGGCAAATGTTATGTCACACGAGGATTCATGTTTGATGAAACAGATGGCAAGCAGTGTGTACTGGAGGATAGCCAACACCACTTCTACTACTTCTGAATGCAGCTAAAACCACAACAATTTGTAATATTCTTTTAATGAATGCGGAAGTACCAGCTCTCTGATTTATGAAAGTGGACCCATATGAAAATTTTATTATGTTCTGTGGCCATCCATTCCTACCACCATAACTTTCCAAAACATTTTTGCATTGTATTTTATATAGCACTTTTGCTGTTTTTTGGAGATTGCCATTTTCCATATTATGCCTTCAATTAGCATTCATTAACAACTGTGGGAGAGTTTTATGCAGCTTTCCTAGTGCTCTAAATTTGGAATTGGTCAGACTCAAAAACCCAGAAGTGCAGACAATTGGTACACTTGCTGAAAATTAACAAGATGGTCAACATGTTATTATTTGTTTCAGTTTTAACAGTTTTATTAGCTTATAATATAAAATACAAAAATACAAAACAAATAGTAGGGAACAAAAGGGAGGAAATGGGGAAGAGAAAACTGTAGAAAAGAAGAGGGGGGGGAAAGGCATAGACTTCCTACTCTCTCTGGTGAAGTAGAATAAGCAGAGGTGGGTTCCTACCAGTTCGCACCTATTCAGCAGAACCGGTTCGTCAAATCTACCGAACCGGTTAGAAGAGGTTCCACCAGTGGACCCGGAAAGCAGGCCACACCTACAGAAGAAGTTCCAAAAATTTTTGAAACCCACCACTGGTCCTTGGATATGATTATTCTACACTATCATGCTCATATTTATAAAACTCAGTGCCTCTGTGAAAGATAAGGATGACTATGCATTTGTGGTGCAATCAGAACATTGCGTGTGTTGAAGTTGTTTTAACGCAAACCAAAGATGCCTTTTAAAAAACAAGTTTACATCATATTCTTATGCATGCCAGTGCTGTGTGTGAGGTAATTTAAGGTGGTTCTGACAAGTGTCGTCAGCATCTTCATATCCAGTCACATGGGCGGCAAGCCACTCCCATCCGGTCACATGGGCGGCAAGCCACTCCCACAAAGGAGGCCACACCCACAGAGTAGGTTCGAACAATTTTTGAAACCCACCACTGAGAATAAGGTATCACCATCAAACCTCAACTTTTTACTTTTGCATAAAAGTATAAAGTAGCCATTTTTATAGCAACAAATCTATATAATCAATAAAACCCAAAATCAAAGTTTGTTTCTTTCCTCCCCACTTCAAGCACAAAGTCCAGAAATGGTTTCCAAGTAGAAACAAAAGTACTTATATTCTTTTCTTTGATCAAAACAGTCAGGTTAGCATCTCTACCAACTCCATCAACTTTTGCAGCCAGTCATCCATTGTAGGAATTGAAATATCCTTCCATTTTTGTACATGGGGTACTCTTGCTGTCATCAACAAATATAACATCAAAGTTCCAATTTCCCCCCCAAGTCTTTTTCAAACTCAGTATTTTTTTTAAAAAACAAACCTTTTATTATAGAAAAAAATGTAACAAAAGGGCAGTGGAACTGAAGCACAGGAAAACAATCCTTGGAGTAAGTACATAGTGTATAGTATGTTTACTACCAGCAGTTGAACCCTGAGGAAAAGTTAGAGATACATGGGCCCTCCAGCATTATATTTTATCCCTGAACCAAGCCAATAATTTCTGAGTATATTCCCAAGCACTTTTTCTGCCTCCCCCTACCTGTTAATCCTTTGAAACCCTGATTTATTTATGTGCCGGAGTTAAACCTTTCTGGATTTGATTGACACACAGTTCATAACAGCAATAATCTTTTAATCTATCATGTCTCACCTGTTCCTTTCTCTCCTCACAGGGGAAGCCGACTGCAAGGATATTGGTGACTGTACATCAGGATACCCATCTACAGATTTGTGCCTTCCTGCACTTGATTATCTCAGGAGGTGTTCCCAGGTGGGCAGAATGAAGCCACACAGATTCAGCTGTCATTCCATCAAGACACTTAAATTAGTTCCTAATCAGAGGCTCTTACACACAGTGAGCCTTTCATGTGCATTAAAGCCCTGGCTTAGTGGAGAGGGTTACATATTTCAAATCTCAAGTGATACATTCTAGACTGAAATAGCAACAGGATTTGTGGCTTCCCCTGTTGTTTTTATTAAAATAGCACATTGTTCACTCCTAGGTGTGTGAAGTGGGAGAGGAGTTTTAACACTTAAATTCTGGTTGTCACATTTACTGTTAAATTTCCAAGTAATCAGTATTAACAATCATTCTCATATTTAGCACTTAACACTTAGACTTATATACTGCTTCACAGTGCTTTTACAGCCCTCTCTAAACGGTTTACAGAGTCAGCATATTGCCTGCAACAATCTAGCTCCTCATTTTACTGACCTCGGAAGGATGGAAGGCTGAGTCAACCTTGAGCCGGTGAGATTTGAACTGCCCAACTGCAGTTAGCAGTCAGCTGAAGTAGCCTGCAGTGCTGCACTCTAACCGCTGTGCCATCTCAGCTCTTTTAGCATCATTTTCTTCTCTGCCACCTAATCAATTCTGCAATTTGTTCTGACCAGCTGCTAATCTATCAAAAAGTAAAAAAGTATTTTAACAAAGTGGGTTTTTTTTAAAAAATATATAGCTTAATGTCATGATATGCCAATGGAAATCCCAAATCAATCATACCATGTCTGTTCCTTTTTAGCTACTTGCCAAAATCTACAAAATGCCCTTGAAGCCTATTTTTCTCAGTGGGAAATTTGCTAACTTACCCCAAAGGATCCAGGAACGATCCGCAAGCAGTGAGGATGGCATTGAATGTGTCCTTTCTGAGTTTGACGATGACACAGGTAAGCAAATATGGCTTATCTAATGAAAAATGAACTTCAATATTACACACTAGAAATGTGGTTTCTTAGCTACACCATATGAAATTCAACAGATAGATTAAAACACACACACACACCACACACACACACACACACACACACACA